CCCTTCTTATAAACTACATGAGAGTCCTATGACCGTGGATAGCAAGTCCTATGTCTATAGAAATATATTTTTAGTAGTGTAGTTGCTGCTCTTGTATAACTTGTCTGCCATTCAGAATATCTCCCTTGTTATCATCTTAATGCTCTGATGGGAACTGCTGCCTGTGAACTCAAGTGGATCGTCCCATCTGACTGATTCTATTGTATTGCACACACCTCTGTGGCTGCAGAGAGGCCTTTGAGTTTGGGGGGGGAGAAGGTGATTTTGCATACGCTTCATTTGTATTCTTGCAATAGCTGTGCTCTGCCAATTATGCTATAAATAAACTGGTTTGTAGGAAGGTACTAAACAGGATGTTCCTGGCTGTCTTTTGCACTGGGAACCATGTAGGGTACAGTTTTGGAGCATTTCAGGGATTACTGCTTGTTTCACAAGCTGGTCAGAGAAAATAATCGACATACCTGCATGCCCATAGAACTCTGAGTATGCAGCAGTAGAGTGGATTTCATGGCTTTAAAGCCACATGCTGTGTTTAGGAAACTCTTTGCTGTCTTTCTGATCTTTGCAAATGGGCACAATCAGGGACCTGATGGATTGTTTTACCAGCTGTCATATATTGGCATGTCAAGCTCTGCTTTACTCATCTTCTTTAAATCTTTACATTCAACCAGCACTAAAAAAAACCCCAACCATAATCAAACCAAAGTTTGTGGTACAGATAAATTCTATTTAACCCCAAGAGTAAGGAGTTATAATTTTAGATCTACCTCAGCCAGTAAGGAATCTGGAGGAAAAAAATTGTAAATAAAGGATGCAGAAAATGGCTGAAGGGATAAATGAAAGCACAGAAGTGGGTAGGATGCTTTGGAAAAACCTATTATATTCCCAGTCACCTTTCCATGCTAACACATGGCCTATGTTTCAATCACTAGCTGAAATTAAAAAGCAATCTTTAAAGACATTCTTAAATCAAAAGGGAATCTTCAGTAGAATTTAAGCTCCTCAGTGATTTCCATAAATTAATCTGAAAATCTTTAAGCAAGTAGATGCTTTGGAAAATTGTACTGTGTCGGTCTTATTGACACTCAGTCAACAAAATACTGGTTCCTTCTTCATTATTTCAACCCATGCACTGCTGACAACTTTAAAGAGCTATCCTTTTTCCTGGGAAGTGGCAACACTCAACAACACATTTCAGTTTTGGGAAAGTGAATGTGACATGGAACGTGAAGGGCCAAATAAAGGCAATTTCTTTCTAAAAATACATGAGACTTGGCCTTGAGACAGCGAAGGTAACCTACAGTACAGTTCATCCATTCCCTCCTGTCAATGGAAGAGACCCCTCTGGAGACTCTTTATACCCTGTGGGGAGGTGGGAGGCAGTGTGGTGACACATCACTTACCAGTTCCTACAGAAAATCTGGAGCACAGACCCATTTCCTCTGGTGTCCTTCAGCTCTTTCCTAATCAGCTTCAGAGCTGTTGTCCAAGTCTGGACCCTTAATAGAGGCTGGCTGTCCCTTATAATTTTTCTCCCACTTAATCATTCCATGTCTTACATGCTCTGGTAATGCATCTACTTTTTTTTTCCTGCTTCTGTTTTTGTCTCGTTTTTTTCCCTCCTTGGTCTCAGGATTTTTTCCCCCAACCCCAAATCCAATCACAAAAATAAAAAAGTAATCCTGGAATCAATAAACCTTTTTGTTTAACTGGCTGACTTTGTTCAAACACTTTCTTCTCCTCCATAAGAGAAGAATGACACATTTATCATTTTCTAAGTGCATGAATTATTTTTTTGCGTTATTCACCTCAAATTTATTTTTCTGTTACAGAAAGGCAAGTAGTTTTTCACTTTAGAAGGAACTTCTAAGCTGTAAACAAATGGAAGGATATCATATTATATCACCAATGAAAAGGTATCAAAAATTCCTCTAGAAACAAATGTGTTTGTGTGCAGGTGCACATATGTCTATTAATAGATGATGAAGGGAGGATGAGTTAACTTGTGGAAGTTGATGATTGCCAGGCTCTCAAGTAGCTGATATCTAGTTCTTTAGTCCTGATTTTTAAAAAATCTCTTTCCTGTGGGAGAAGCTCAGGCAATTATATGGTTAGGCAATTCTTTTAATAATTTTTAAATCTTCTGGAAAAATGGATATTTAAGGCAATTTTGTTCTTATGAGATTCCTGAAAACTGCTGGATAGAAGAGGTGAGCTATGCAGATTAATGATCTTGCTGAGGGCATTAAATTAACTAAATTAAGCCCTTAAATATTGCTAGACAATAGCCAGCTCTATTGCTGTCTTCCTTGTACTGGGTAGTGTTATCTGCATGAGTTTTGCTCTAGATTAGCCACAGCATACAATAGCTTCTGCCAGACTGCTTTGTCCAAGAGAAAAAGAGGTACAGGGATGTGCAGGAGTTAATGTCCTGGAGCACCCATCTTATAGGTGCAGGAGACCCACATTCACTGGTTTCATTGTTTGTCTTGTGTTTTGTTTTCCATGAACCTTCAACAAACACCAAATTATTACAACACTATTTAATAGTGCTGAAAGGTATTAGTGGGACCTACCCACAGGAGACATGGCTTGTGGTTTTAAACTTTCCTACCTGTTCAAATGTGGATTTTAGTATTGTATGCTATAATACATAAAATGTATTATAGCATAAAATGTAGTGTGTACTGAGTGCACTAAACCCAGCTCTGGGGTAAAGCCTTTTAATTTTCCAAATAATTGAATAGGCTAGAATAAAGTTTAAAGTACTTAATATGGAGGTAGAATGTGGCACTTTTAGATGTGTTACAGGTCCTTGCATAGAAGAGCAAAACAAAATTTGGTGACATTTTTAGGTGGATGTAAAATACGGGGTGAATTACTGGTTTGTTTGTTGTTAGAAAGATCATCATATAAAAGATGCACATTCCTTGGACTCTAAGACAAATCAGTCACTCCAGTTTCTCTGAGAATTCAATACAGTGTTCTCAAGATGCACCAGCTTCTTTTCATTGGCACAACAATAAGCATGACGCCCATTTCTGAGAAATTTTGCCTTGCACTGGGGAGAAATTGGTTAAGTTTTTTGGGTATGGGATTTAGCCAGTGTAACCCAACTGAACATCTTGGGGAAGAGGTAGGATGTCTCAGTGAGAATTTTTCATTCATGCCTCTGGGTGTACTGTACATTTTGTTTAGCTGTAACTATGGCTAACTTTGTAACTTCTACAAAATGTTTGGCTTCTTTCTTGAGCTGTGCTTTGGGATATTTCCATATTCTAAGTAGCTTAGCTAGCTGCTTCTCTTAATCAGTGGAGTATTTGGATTCCTTGATATGTTTTTTCACTTCTGTTAAAAGCAAGTTGTGCCACCACCTTGATATCTTACTCCCTCTGTTTTATGAAGCTAGCTCTATTCCTAGAAGCATTAATAATGTATGCACTTTGCAGTTTCACTATTCAATTACTATTCAATGCCTGGTACGTGAGAACCTGTTTAAGTTGATAAGGCAAAGCTAGATGAATAGGATTATCTGTTTCCTAAGCATACTGAACACAATGGTATATAAATCTTATACCTGCAATGCTCTTTATAAAAATGTCTCAGAACATGCATTAGTTCCCACTTGAATCTACTAGTATTGGCATTAAAAAGAATAGAATTCTTAAATTTAAAAGGTTATTAAAGGTTAGATAAGTGTCCTGTGGGATATCGGGATTGCCAACACCCTTTTGACAGAGCTGAGCGTAGGATATGAAAAATATCACAGAAAAAAATGAAAAATATTGGAAAGTTTATCATTCTAGGTTGGATTTTTTTCTGGAAAACCAGAACCCAGGTCCTTCTTCCAGTTTGGGAAATGATGTTAGACCTTATGCTGACCACTAGGGCTGCAGAGAACCCCAACTTAAAGAACAGCACTTCTCACACAATTCACTTGACTTAAGAGAAATGTGCTAATGAATCATTAGCAAAGCTTCTTTAGCCCCAGGGCATTCATCAGAGACTCCACAGCTATGTCCTCATCTGCTTTTGCTGAGGCATAGCAGGTGAGTGCTGACAGGATCAGAGCTTGGGGAGTAGTGCTGCAGGGCCTGAGCTTGTGTTTATGTTGCTCCAGGCTTCCCTTTTTTTTTCTTTTTTAATTTTTTTTTTCCTTTTAGTAACAGCAGATTTTTCTGAATTTTCTGGTTTGAGGTGAGCATGCTATAGAACTGAAGAAGTTTGGGTTGTTGTGGGAACTTGTCCAAAGGTTTTGCACAGCCTGACAGGAAAGGTGCCTTGTCAATGAAGGAAACAAAGGGAGCTGAATAAGAATTGGGTCAGCTGATGGGTAAAAAACTTTCCCAGGCTTTTTATATTGCATGGTACGGAAGAATCACCCAAGCCAACTTTTCTCTAGAAGGCACTTCACACTGTTCCAAAAAAAGGGCCATGCCCTCCCAGGGCATGTGATCTACACGCTGGCAGACGTACTTTCCAGTGTGCCGTTCTCTGAGAGCGGCATGCCTCCCTCATGTGATCATACCATACAGGCTGGACTTCATGATTGGAGCCTGGCTGCACCTTCCACTCCACCTGATCAAACTGGACTTCCCCTGGGTCCTTCACAATCACATCATGCCTCGTTTAAGTTTCAGCAAGATACATAAGAACATGCCTTACCAGCTTAGAATAATCCTATTAGTCTCAGTGGGCTTACTCATACACTCCAAGCTGGAAGGCACTTTGCTTAATGAAGACCTTTGTAATGAACTCAGCATGAGGAAAATGCAACTTCTGTTCCTTTTGATTCCTTAGAAAACTCAGTCTGACTCTGAGAAAAGGTTTAATCAGGCAAAATTTCCAGGCACATTAGGAAAAATTTTAATTACCAAACATGCCTGTCAGTAGGGGTCATTGCATAGGAAAAGTAGCTGATGTTAGCAGTCCTTGAAAAGACAGAGTTTTAAGTATTCCAGTCCAAATTAAAATGGTATTGGTGCTTGCAGTTGCTAGACAAGAAAGAATAGAGAAACAATTAGATACTTAAAGGCTGGATACCTATTGATGTCAATGAGAAAACTCTTGTCTGCTTCACAGCGGTCTGGTCTTGCCTTCTTTTCCATACCTGGCGAAGGAAGCAAGGGTAATGTTCTGAAGGATGCTATTTGGGAAGTGCAATTTGCGAAGTCTTTTTAAAGTCAGTACCAATGTTTTGTTGTGAAAAGCACAGAAGGGCTGATGATCTTTGAATTGTGCACAAGACAGGTTTAACTTCCTAAGCTCTTACCTATCTCAAACCAGAGCATGTTGTTTGGGACAGTGTCACCAAACTGGAATCACAACAATGTAATTCTGCTCAGGTCTTCTGGGTTTTACCTGTAATTGTTAGAACCAGGTTGTTAGGGAACAAAAAGAAGACAAGGGATAAAGGAGACATGCTCAGAATTCAGTGGGGATTATGGCAAAAGCTGTGGAATAAAGTAACAAACAGATCCTGCCCCTTCTGTGTACCCCTCATTACAAAAGCAGCCATCACCTCCCACAGCCAGAAAATGAGTGAACTGCCTGCTTTCCTGAGGGCAGCTGGTCCCTTCAGGAGCTGAAATAAGCTCAAGCTTTATTTCAGAAAGTAATAAGAGAAAATGTCCATTTGGATGAAGGAAGAAAGCTCCTGATAGATTTCCTAGGGGATAGAGAACTTTAAAAATCATATGGCAACAGGAACGAAATACGCCTTGAGTCACAGGAGAATCACGACTATGGCCCTACCACTGCTCTGTTGCATCCACAAATTGTGCCTGCCTTCTGGCTATGCTGGGAGGGGTGCTGAGACCCCGAGATAGCCCAGCAAGTGGAGACAAGGATCAAGGGTTATTGTGCCTGTCAACCACCGAGAATAAATCTGCCATTTTAAGACTTGCACATGAGGGCTCTGAAGAAGGGGAGCTTGCCATGTGCTTGTTGCTGGCTGGCTGCATGCCCATCAATGTGCCAAAGGGTCCTGTTGCAGCTGTATTCACCACTGGTTTTGCAAAGGGAAGGGACAGAGAGGCTGCTGCCTGTTGGGTGGTTTGGAGCTTATCTGTGGGTACCTAACTTGGACTGCAGCCCTGGAGAAACCTTATCCTCTGTGTGTGTGGTTAACATGTGAAACCTGGCTCTCAGCTCCATGGTATGATGATCCAAGGCAGATACTTAGTACAGGATTGCCAGTAAACTGATGCTCACAAAAGTACAGCATGGAACACTTTTTTCACTAGCTGTGACTGAATAGACACTGATTTATTATATCCCAAAATACTGTTAGTCATCATATTTTAAAACCTTAGTCTGATCCAATAAACAATTCTTTATCTAGGGCAAAAGCATTCAGTGTTAATTAGAAGAATAATTTAGTAAATAAAGGTCAGAGCTTTTTAAATGCTTTATGTAGGGCAAAAGAAAACTTAATCTCAGGGTTATAAACAGTGTTTTTGTTAAGCAGACAGGAAACACTTCCAGCCAGAGCCTCTGAAATGTAAATGAGCCTATTTTATCCCTCGATTTTCACAAATCTCTCACCATGTTGCCACTACAGAAGAGGAGATAAAGAACTCTAGTATTGCTTCCAAAGAGGTCATGTGTTTACTGAAACCAGACTAGAGCTAGGTATGGGCAGACTGTTTTGTGGAGTTTGTAGCATTATTTTTAATATTGGTTCAACACAGCTCATAAGCTGACAGACAACTGGGTTGGAAGACACTCAGAGACCATTTAGTTCCAACTCCCCAGCCATGGGCAGGGACACCTTCCACTAGACCAGTCTGCTCAAAACCTCACCCAACCTGGGCTTGACCACTTCCAGGGATGGGGCATTCACAGCTTCCATGGACAGCCTGTTCCAGGGTGACTCACTGCCTTTAGAGTAAATAACTTACTGAAATGGTAGCTTGCAGCCAAATCTGGTTTTGTACTGACAGATGGAACCCTGAGTCTGAGCTCTTCTTGTGTATGGACAGTTCACAATGATTGTGTGAACACAACTGATGAATGTGTACCTAACAAAGGTCTCCAGTGTCATTATCATACATGGAGAGATCACCAAAGCAGAAAAGAACTTGCAACTTATGTTCTTGTGAATGAGAGGAGCAAACAAAGAGGTGAGTGGTCTGACTGATGTCATGAAGTTTTGCAGATCCTGTGTAGGGATATCCTTGGATCTCATGCTGGTTCTCATGGTATCCTTTGATTTAGAGCTTACTCCTGTGCAGATCCCTTAGTTACAATGTGAGGTCAGAATATGATCCTTTGCAGATAGATCAGTGAAAAGGGATAATCCATGAGATAACATGTGCTATGTAGAGATCAGGAGAACAAAACTGTAAGGGTTGAGCAATCCTGCTGGTTTTACAGGTCAGATGAAGAGTCTACCCGAGGTCTGGAGCCGCTTCAAAGGTGAAAGAAGTATTTCAAAGGTGAAAGAAGGTACAAGGACACACTGAGGGGCTTGGAGAAGTGATGTCTCAAGGAATGGGATAAAGCTAGGAGGTTTTTAAGAGAAGGAAACACAAGTTTTTTGCCCCTCCTCTTTTTTTTTCCCACAAGAGGTTGGAATATCCTGTGGTTTACAGTAGTCATGGGACTGTTATCTCACAGAACTTCCAGATATCCCCACATTTGGAAGATCTCCCAAGATATTTATTCTCCATTTATTTGGAAGATAAATAAACTTCTGCCAGTTTCACCTACAGAATTTGAGACTGGGAGTTTGAATGGCAACTGAGTTGCAACTGCACTGAGGAGGACCGTAGCTGCTCTGTGATAATCAAATTTGGTTTGCTTGACACATAATGAGATTATTGATTAGACACACACAGCTTGCCATTTCAAATCACATCTCCTCTTCATTTCCAAGGGATGATTGACATAGCCTAACATGCTCAGCATCATTAAATGGAAAGAGTTATTTACGGTGTTGCATCAGAATTTATCACTAATTCCCAGATCTGACAGAAAAGAATCACTTTGTGTGCTAGGCATTTTTATCTTGCCATTAAAAAGTGTATCGAAAGTTTTAGATAAGAACCGAAGCTGAAATTCCTTCCTAGTCTATATCCAGATAATCTGGCTTGCAAAAGTGAAGCAGGGAGTGGTGGGATGTGTCAAATACAGTTCCTGATCCTTCAGTGACTTCTGACATGCTCTGGCTGCTCCAGTTGTGGATGATCTCAACTCAAAGTGTTCTTATACTGAACATCTTTTTTATGAAGTTCTCTTTAGCCTCACTTTCCCCATATACCATTAGTTATCAGCAGCACCAGCTGTGGGCAGACTTCAGTGGCCAGATAACATGTGCTATATGAGCCTTCATTTAGAAATTCATAAGGCATTGCTTCCATTCAAAGGAGGTGATATTTACCAAAAGCAGGTTTAATATGCTTTTATTGCCTTCTCCTTTTCTTGAGGAGAAAGGTGCATGGCACCCAAAACTCTGCAGAAGAGGCTGCACTCTGCTCTTGCTACTAATCCAAAGCTGTTAGATTCTTTTTTTTTTTTTTACTCATGCCATATTCTGCCAATGGAGCTTAAGAGGTCTTCTGAGTGAAAGTGCATTGATTTTTATTTTTGAACAGTCTTCTAGACTTTGTGATTGTACCTCTATGTATGTGAGACACCACTGCTCCCACACTTGGGCCCATCTGGAACACCTCTACAGAGTCCCATTCCAGCCTTCATGCTTCTAGAAATGTTGTGAGGGTGGAGGGTGTTTGAAGAAAACACACACGGTTAAATGAGCTGTAAAAATATGCATTATACAGAAAGACTCTGGGAGCTCTCTCTCATTTGTCTCATCAAAGCAAAGATAAATGAGCAACTTCCTCGTAGGCTATAATTACCTCTAAGGGGAACAAAAACATTGATAATTGACAGTTTTGAGCTTGACCCTAGGAAATAACAAAATCCAGTAGTTGGAAATTGAAATTTAGAGTGTAGAGTGAAATTTAGAAACTCAGAGACTTGAGTTTAACCCTGTAGTTAACTATTGGAGTAGCAAAGTTGAAATTGTGTGATCACTGATTTTCAATCGAAATTGTGGGGTTTGGGTTTTCTTTAAAACATGCACTCTTCTTCTAATATAATTTTAAGTCCTAGGCCTGTATTGCCTCATAGAAAGGGCCAAGAAGTTTTAAAAGCTTATCTCTTGTTTTGGCAAAAAGATGTTATACAGATAGTAATCCTGTTTGAAAGGCATTCTCCATCTTGAAGCTTCTAAAAGGGGGGATAACTATAGTTTTAAAAATCTGGTCCTAGATGTGGGATTTGAGAATCTGAAGTACTGAGGCTATGAAGCCAAAGAACAGTTCCATCCATCAGCATGGTAGAGGGTCTAGAGCAAACCAGACCTTATGTTTTGAATTCCTCAGTCATTTCCTCCCCTGTGTTTTATCATGCCTGAAATGTCCACAGTTTTATTTGCATTATACCTGAGATTTTGGCTGTCTAAAAATCCCATATGCCCATGCAAAATGCAAAGTGAAAGCTGAACGTGGTTGCAGAGCACCTCTGCAAATTCCCTAAGCAATGGATATGTTTCTTTATGTATTCCATGGGTTCATTTGCAATTGCTTCCTACAGGATATTTTACTTCTACATCTCTTCCAATATACAACAGATGAAAAGGACTGATAGACATTCTTGGCCTTAGTTCAGTTTCCTCTCTCCTCAGTGTCCCTCCCCATGCATTTAGGGTTTTTAAATAACTCTTTGGACCTAAGGGGTTCCCTCTGCCTTTCTTCTGGGTTTATCAACATCCTTGTGCCTGTGCAAGGCTCGGCTCATTTGGTACTCTGCATTTATTCACAAACTGTAGCTGATGCTGTGCTCACCTTTAAAAAAAGTTTTTCTTTACTTAAAGGCTTTTTACTTTCTGTGTAGCATAAACCCAAAATGAGAGCTTGAATATGCAGTTGAATCAAGGCGTTTTCTTGTCTAACCAACACAAATGATGTCTTTAGATTGTCCTGTTTTTCAGATTCTGTCATAGGACCCAAGACAAATAAGAAATCAGAACTGATGCAGCTGAATCAGACCTGATTTACAAATCCAAAACTGGCATGTGGTAATTACAATATTTGTGTTAACTATCAAATTTCTAGGTATTGTTTACCTGACTATACTTGTCCTGCCATGTAGCTGGAGCCTTTTTTTCATGCTTCACAGCTGCAGCAAAATGGAAAATCAATGTTTGGATGTTAAATTAGGGTTGTCTTTTTTCCACCATGTGTTACTCACAGTCTACAAGCCTATTTTGTCTGCCACTGGCCAGTCACAGAGTTGTAGGTATTCTTTCTCTGTGGTTCCCCAGGAGGTCCTCACCTCTTATGCTGTTGTGAACAACTTGGTGGTCTTATCATTCGAGGTGAGAGGAGTTGTTTCTACACAAGAGAGAACTTGGCCCAGCGTCATTATAATGAGACCAACATTATACCATAAAATCCAGAATCCATTCAGGGTTGAACTGGCTGTTAGGGCCCAGGCTGGGATCAGGGAATTTGATAGCAAGCCATCCTCTAGGAAAGCTGGGCCTCAGGCTGAAACTTCTATGACTTTCCAACCAAACAGGAGCACTTCTGCTCTTCAGTGATCTCTGGGAGGTATTCAGAAAATGTTTTGTGATGGAACATTATCCCTTGGCTTCCCATCCCAGTCTCAGCTCATCCCTTTCTGCTTATCCTCAGGAATAAGGTTGCCTCATGTAGTACAAAGTGAAAGATACATTTTGAATGACTTCTGAATGATTTATGTTAACCCTAAATGCCCTTGCAGTCAGGCTGCTCTTGCAGTATGGCTTTCTTAATTGCTCCCAGCAGGGAATCACAAAATGTGAGGACAGGGCATGCTTCTCATTTCCAACATATTTACAGAAAGCTCTTTCTTCCAGCTTTCCCCAAGAGCTTTTAGTTACTGTAAATAACATACAAGCCAAGGGTGAGTAATATGTTAGACTCTCAAACCTATTTTTTGAGTCTACCAAATAGGTTTGTGATGCTGCCAGTCACAAATAAAGCTTTCTTTTTGTCTGTGGAGATGTTTGGTGAGGGTTTTTTTTGCCTTTCACTTAGCTTTCTGAAAATGTAGGCTTCTGACCTTGATCTAGTTGGCCTCCCTTCATTTCAAAGAGCTATAGAACAGCTGTGACATGCAAAAAAAAAAAAAAAAAAACCCACAAAAAAAAAAACTGCAAGAAACCTGAATGCCTTCCCAGCCAGCATTGGCAATGGGAGCTCTTGAGTGGGACTAACCTTACCTTCAATGGAGAAGGTTTTATTCAGTAGTGCCTATGTGCAGCTTGTCAGGGCCACAGACACTTTGTCATTTGGCTCCATCTTCTGGGATAAGGCAGAAGAAACAGAAACCACTGGTGCTGACACTTTCCAAGTCCTGTCAAACAACATTTATTGGTTTTTTCTTACTCTTCATTAATGCTTCCATGCAAGCTCACACTGGATGCAAACACAGTAGGAAACCTTTTGCTTTTCTGAAGATGTTTTAATGGGAGCAAGAATTCAATACATTAAAAAAGTGCTGAAAATCAATACCTTTTTTGTTTTCCGAGACTAAGAAAGGACAGTTAGTGAATGTTTGACTTGCAATTCAACAGTGAAAGAAAAAAAGAAGAGCTCAGGTAAATGGCTTTCTGATTCCTGAACAGTTTTGCAGAATTAGCTCTGACTCTGGCAACACACTATTTGTTCTCTGCTGCTGAAGGTTTGAAGGAGAAAAGGGCATAAGACATTATTGCTATAGCAACCTTCAAGTGGGTGCTGTAGGCGATCAAAACATATTATTTGTTGATGGAAGTTTTGACCATCACAGTCTTTCCATGCAGCGCCCAAAACTGTGGGCCAGCTAGCTGAGCTGTAGATGCATTTGCTTCCATTTTCCATTCAGTCTTTGAGTATTTCCACTGTTCAAAAATTAGCAAATTTGAACTTATCAGTTCAAAATT